CCGTCGCTCGCCTTCAAACTGTTCCTTCTGCTGGTGACCGTCGTCCAGTTTTCATTTGCTTCGTCTCTCATGGGAGCTGCGGCAGCAGGTACCATGGAAGGCTGTCGGCTGGACCAGGGCGAACTGTAGTCAGGAAGGTGAAACTCACCCGCCCGCCTATCATCACGTACAGCTTCCTGCACCAACTTGATCCAGAAGGCTCGCACTCTCATAAGATGTTTCGCCCATCTGGCCGCAGCCTGCCAAGCTAAGGCCGTCGGCTAAGGGAAGGAGGAGGAGGAGGAGGAAGAGAAGGAGAAACAACACGACGACAATGCGGAGAACGACGACGACCCCCGAGCTCTGCGTTATCCAAAGCCGAAAACCAAGAAGTCCCAGCCAGCACGAGGCGCCTTCGGGCGCCCACCGGCCAGGGGGCCGAAACTCCCAGCCAGCACGAGGCGCGCACGAGGCGCCCGCCGGCCGGAGAGCCAGAGACCCCTCTGGCCAGCACGGGGAGGCCCACGGGGTGCCCACGGGCGCCCGCCGGGCGAGGACTCCGAGCTCCCCCCTCCGATGCCGCCCTGCCGGGGTGAAAAGCCCGTCGGTGCAAGCACTGCGGGGGGAAGTGATGGACAGCAGAAATGGGGGAACAAAAAGTGGCATAAACATAAAAGTTCGGAGATCCGCGCGGATTTCTCGGATCGGCGCTGGACCACCCTCCCTGGCGCGCGGAGCGCGCCAGGGGCGGCGCCGGAGGCGCCGCCGGGGGGCCCCAGCGCCGATCCGAGAAATCCACGCGGACCTCCGAGTTTTTATGTTTATGTCACTTTTTTGTTCCCCTAAGAAAACCCACCCTCATGGTGCAGTCACCCCAGCACGCGAAGCCGTCTAGTAAACGCACACAAGGAAGGAATCGAACAGGGCAGGGCTGTTCAGTAAGCGCCCGGGGCCGTTCAGTAAACGCCAGGTATCAGGCTCGGGTGGTTTTTTGAAATGAGGAACATAGAAATTGTATTTGCCGATACTTGTATGACTCCCATCGTCACAACATCGCGCACTGATACAGCCGCTGCCACCACATTCTTCGCATAGCAATAACCCCTAGTGCTGCCAATGACATCATAATGATCGGTTCAATCCCTGGCTGCAAAATTCGATTGCCCTTGTGCTCGCATTAGAAAGCTGCATGTGAACGCTGAAGTTCGAACATTCGTTTAAAGATGCCGGGTGATCAAGATCTCGCGTCCCACGCTGCGCTAAAGAGTAGAACCCTAGGCATCGGCCACGGATTCACCGCAATTCCCGGGGATTGAACCGCATGTCCTCGGATTGTGGCCTCCTCCCTTTTAAACATCCCAAATCTGCCCAGCCGACTTGAGGCGTCAACGAACGAATCAATGCGCGAAATCCCGTTAAATAGCAGGTGGCACGCCACCCCAAACACTTGCTAGCATGAAGTAGCGAACTCGGCAAACTGCCCTGCCGACCGCATATTCACCGAGCATCCCTGGATTCAAAGAATGCAGTGCTGCCCGCTTTTCTGCTTCCCCTTGGCCAGTGTCTGAGCGACCGCTGGGACAAAGATGCCACTCCGTTGGCAGCACCGCCACTCCGCTGGGACCCCGCCAACCCTGTACAGCCGACCCGTGTGCTTAACCAAGGCAAACGGATGCTCCTTGGGCAATGCAGAAGATTGCACGAGGGCGGGTGATGCGCGGAGGCGGAAGATCTGTCTTTCGCCTGGGTGTGGTCAGAGAGGGTCGCCGGAGAGGGAGGGGAGGCGAGGGATAGAGGAGGCAAGAAGAGGCGGAGAGGCAGTGAGAGAGGCGAGAGAGTGCAGAGGGCGGGTAACGAGAGATGGCGGGAGGAACGGGGAGAGGGTGGAGAGAGGAGGAAGAAGCGAACGGCACGGAGGAAGAGGAGGATGAGGACGCGCATCAGGAGGAGGACGAGGAGGAAGAGAAGGCATGTGAGGATAGCAAAAAGGAGAAGGAGGAGGCCAGTTGACTTGGGGGCGGGCTCCCGAGCTGGCAGGCAGGCAGCCTGCCTCGAGCTCGCGCAACGACCCAAGTGAAGGGGCCACCGACGGGCGAATCACGAGATGCTGAGTCCACGCATCCATACAAATTGGCTGGAGGCCGTCGTACGGCATGCCAACGAAGTGGTCAGCTTAGGGTTGGCCTGCTAGGCCCGCGGAACGATACAGGACCGGGAAGATAGCAAATCGCTGCCCGAAGAGCAGAAAGGGGCGTAAGGCTGGATTCGCAATGATATGACACTCCCATTCCCAGACCCAGAATATCATTGTTCTCAGCTGGGTCGAAAATGGCCGCCATCTCCCCCCAGAGGTCTTCGAATGCCGAGAAAAGGGTTGGGAAAGGAAGTGGCAGCAGCGGCGTCGGCGTGAAAGCGGCAAGCTGGGCGTCAGTGAACCCCGCACACCCGTGCGGCCCGGCCCTCGCTTCCGAGCAGGCGGCAGGCACGACACTGGCAACTTGACGGAGGGCGATGTCGACGTCCTGGGAACGTTTTCTCGTCACGGGTACCGGCTTGGTGGCTACAATCGAAGCGCTGTCGTAAGGAACCCTAAATAAGGAACGAGGCCCCTTCATTCCATGAGTTAGACTTCGACTTCCCATCGAAAACCTGAGGAACACCTAAGGCGAACTTTAAAACAACTAAGGAGCACTGAGCCCCTCCCCCAGCGGCCCGACTGTAAGGGGCCTGAACTGGGCCTTTGAGTTCAGAAGACTCTGAGAAGCGGGCCATCGTGATTTTGTTCGCAGCGCCTGGAGGTCCAGGAGCGAATCGTTGACATACCAGGGCCGCCCAGCCTCGGTCCTCGGCAACGCCCGGGGACTGCCCCCAAGGGGGCTGTCCGTGCGCAACCCCAAGCATTCCCAGACCTCCAACGTCGTGACCTTGTTCGTGGCATGGGCCCCTGGACCTCTCGACCCCATCTCAGGGACCGCCTTTTCACTCGAGGCCCGAGGCCCTTTCTCGGACGGCCCCAGAGCCCCACACGCACCTCCGAAGGCCAAAACGTGGAGGGGTGTGGGGGGGAGACGGGAACATGACATCCTTGTGTGACGCAGGAGGTCTGGCCAAGGCTGCCTGACGCAGGCTGCTGCGCGCACTCGCTGCACGCGTTCCACCACTCAAGCCAGGCTTCCCCGTGACGCCCCCTCCCACTTGCCGTGATGGGCTATGCGGGGTGGAAAAACAAGTGATTGCCGCACGGGGAGGATGGGTTGTGCCGAATTGGCAACGGAGGTGGGGAAACAGGAAGATACCGATACCGCTACTTTACGGACCTCTCCTGCGGTGCGTTCTGATCAGAACTGCGAGGAGCATCCAGCCGTGTCGACGAGGGCTCTCCAAGACGAGCGATGTCAGATTATTTTCACCCTCTGAGGAGAGACACGCGCGCGCACATATGTTCCCCACCTGGCCCTCCGCAGGCGAAATTCGGCTACACGCAAGAGTGACCCTGGGCCAGAATGACCTTCGGTGCGCGACTTTTGGGGGCGCGAGGGGACCAAACACAAGCGCACAAGATGCTACTACATGCTACTGCCGCATCGCGTTCGGCGATCGGGGGGCCCCATTGGGCCCGCATCAGAGGTCACTCCAGCGAAATGTCACGCTTACACCCCAGCTCAGAGTTAAGATAAGTTTACGTTAAGAAAACTGATGTTACTCCAAGCGTTTTCTTAAACAGTAGTCCAGGTCCACATCTACGAACGTTCTACCAAGGAAGTGAGCTCCAAGAAAGCGTCCAAGGTCCAGCCCAGACTCTTGGTTCTCTGCAGCGAAATCTGGAGACCACGAAAGTTGACGTGTTCTCTTCAGATGACTGGTGGCTGTACGTCTAGTCTTAAGTCGGGCGTGTCCCCCTACAGGGGGATGTTCGACGAAAAATAAAAATTATCCCGGCAAAGCAACCTAACAGCGATGTGTAGGAGCATATCTGGAAGCATTCCCCTTAAGATTCAGATGAGAATCCAGTTGTAGAATTCTGCTGTTCTCGCAGTCGTAGTCGCATTCGCGATGACAGTCGCAGTGGCAACGGCAGTCGGAGTCAAGGCCTCAGCCTCAGCCTGCTTCAGCCTCAGCCTCAGCCTGCCTCAGCCTCAGCCTGCCTCAGCCTCAGCCTCAGCCTGCTTCAGCCTCAGCCTCAGTCTGCCTTCAGCCTCGGCCTCAGCCTCAGCCTGCCTCAGCCTCAGCCTGCATCAGCCTCAGCCTCAGCCTCAGCCTGCCTCAGCATCAGCCTGCCTCAGCCTCAGCCTCAGCCTGCCTCAGCCTCAGCCTCAGTGTGCTTCAGCCTCAGCCTCAGTCTGCCTTCAGCCTCGGCCTCAGCCTCAGCCTGCCTCAGCCTCAGCCTGCCTCGGCCGCAGCATCAGCCTGCCTCAGCATTCAAAATGTGGCCCAAGAATGGAATTCTGGGAACTGGAAGAACACGAAGTGGCCTACAGTTGGCTCCGGGCAGTCAAAATCATACCCAGGAATGGAGTTCTGGGAACTCGAAGAGCACGAAGAGGCCTACAGTTGGCTCCGGGCATTCAAAATGTGGCCCAGGAATGGAGTTCTGGGAACTCGAAGAGCACGAAGTGGCCTACGGTTGGCTCCGGGCATTCAGAATGTGGCCCGGGAATGGAGTTCTGGGACCTCGAAGACCACGAAGTGTGTAACTGTTTGCTTAAAACGACTTCCGCGGATTCTCCCCAGCACCCGTCAGGCATCTGCCCAGACCTCCCTGGGGAGTCAAGATGCATTCTCTTTTGAGCCTACTAGAAACCTATCAGTCTTCGCTGTTAGGTAAATACCCCAAGAATACCCCAAAGAGAACAAAAAATATCCAAGAAATAGTCCCCAGATGATTTTTGGACTATTTTTCGACCATTTTGGGGGTATCTTTTTTTTTCGTCGAAAATCCCCCTATAGGGGGACAGGCCCGACTTCAGTCTAGCCGAGGAATGGTGACTCCTCCCGCGGCCCGAGGGGGGCTTCGGGCCGAC